CAAAGCAGAAGACATTCGAAAGTAGTCTAAGAAATTCGACCGAATAAAAGATAGAGTCGTGAGGCTGGTTGGGCGGTAAATGAGAACACCCTGAAGGTATCACATTCTTAGGCGCGACAGATGACGCCTTTCTCCTGGGTAGACTGAAGGACTCATGAGAAGAATCGTGGGGTGCGTGGGATTCGATACGAAAATTGGTGAGCATTTAAGATCTCAAAGGGAAAATTTGTGTCTGCTGTGCATGAGTAGGTGCACACGATGTAGATTTGGCCCTGTAACGTCTCAGAAGTTTGGCGTCCCAGCGTGACAAACGAAGATTGCCGCCACAGTGTCTCGAAAAGTCGCGCGTTTCATGATCCAATAGCAAAACGGTGGTAACTTAGTTCGAATCAAAGTGTAGCACATCGTTTAATATCCATTAATCCCTATAAAGCAGCGTATTCATACCTATTTATTAAATTACCCCGACAGGTTTACAACTTCTCCATGCACCATGAAACTCAACAAAAACAAGACAGAGTAATTTTTAGGGTTTACATTGTTTGATGTTCTATCCGGTGTGAATATTTCCGTGCGTCCCGTGGATCCACTTCTTATCGAATAAAAAAAGGTCGGCCAGCAGGTACAGCTGACTAGCGACTGAGTTAAATGCGGGTTTTTCGGTTGTGGGCTATGCAGCCTACAGCTGCATCCTTTCTTGATGCAATCTGGCCAACAAATTAAAACTTTACGTTTGGTCGATGTCGAGAATAAGTGGATGCTGCTGATGAGGTTATTGATTCGCCCATTTGGACTGCTGCCTTCGCAGCGAGAGAGTCTGGTGAAAAATTTGTTCGTACATGCAATTACAGTCTCGTGGAAGCGCGAGGTGAAGGTCTATGGTAGGAGGGAAATAGCCTTATGTGTCCTCAGAATGTGTATGGCGATTCCACGCCACCACTGCGATGGCAAACATGTATTTTTGTACAACTACGTAACGGACGTCACTGCCGCTTTAGTCGAACAGAGGATGCGCATTCTAGTGGTGACTGGACCCGCGTTAGACAAGGGAGGCATGCATAGGTAGAGTCACGAGTAATCTGGATTTAGATGGGGGACCATTTGTGTGTGAAATGGAAACCAGCCGGACTGAATGAATGGCGACCATACGGGGCTTTCGATGCTACTGCTGTAGGGGTTTGAATCTCCTGGTAGAGGAGAATAGAGAGGGGATAGAATGACAGAAGTGGCATCTTTTAGTGATAGGACGCATAAGTTAAATCGGTTTCCAATTAAAAAAAATAATATGTAGGTAAATGACAGCAATTTAAATAGACCTATGAAAAGGTAGTTTTCTGCTGGCTGTCTGGAAAACCAAGGATCAGCTGAGGTCGCCGTTGTTGTTTGAGGAGACAGCAAATCCTTATTAGTGGGCTTTCAACTAGCGCGAATGAAGTATATTCGGATGGCAATGCGAAAGACCAATATAGGCTGTAGGAGTTGAGGCTCGTGGTTGCACTGTGTATCAGTCAATCGGAAGACGTGAGGCCAGGGCACGAGTAGTTGGTAATATTGTGAAGGCGAGGGATAAGTTGCAGATGTAGAGAACAGTGATGCCGCTGCGCGGGTTCGGTTCTCTCCTTCTGGGCGTGGTCTACCNCCTTCGAGTCCCACTGAAGATGACGAATTCCTCATACAACCTCTTGAGCAACTCTCCTCCAACTACCATTTCACCCATCTCCTGACGGTAGGTGACTTCAACGCCCCAAAGGCCTCCGGGTTTGAACTCCAGCGCGTCGAAGCAGGCGGAATTTTGCAGCGGCGCTGTTAGAAGTCGTTCAACAGAGCGCTTGGACCCAATATGTCGCTGCACCCACCAGATACCGCGCAGACCAACTACCATCCCTCCTGGTTTTGGTCATCACCAACGAAAGGCGCTTCGTTGATCAGGTAATAAATAACGCACCACTGGGGCATAGCGACCACTGCGTGCTGACCTTTGATTTCACCTGCTATTATGCCAGAAATCCCGAACCTCAATCGTGATTTCGAGACTTCTGCCGTGCAGAATTCTCAGGAATGCGCATATTTCTTCAACAAGTCACACTGGGACCAGCTCCGGTGGAAGAACTATATAGCACCATTGACCAGAAAGTTCACCAGCCTGACGCGACGTTCGCCCCAAAAAACCAACACGCAATCGGATGAACCGCAGGCTGCCAAAAAGGATTCGGCGACTTCTGGAAAAAGGCCCCAACTCTTTTTCAAAATGTTGACTACAGGGGATACAGAAGATGAGCTGGCATTTCGTGAAATCCGGAACCGTAAATCGGAAATCCGCCAATGGAACATACGAAAACAAGCCACCATTCTGGACCTCGCTCGAAAAAACAAAAACGTACTGTTCAAGTA